TATGGATCAAGTTGGAGAGTCCCAGCCTTGAGCAAAAATGCTCAGGGACAGCACCCAGGCCCTGAATTCAAGTCTACTGGCACACACACACACACACACACACACACACACACACACACACAAGAGGTCAAATTGTTATGTGAATTACATGCCAATAATATCATTTTTAAAAAGTGATCAACAGCAACAGAATGTCATACTTTATGTTTAATATATAAAATCTTAGCCAGGCAAAAGGTCCACGTGTATGTGTATTCATTAAAACGAACAAAGACAGTTTGAATGTGACAATGGTGACTCTGAGACTGTAGGATTACAGGTTGTACTTTCTTCTTTATATTTCTATGTTCTACGCATTCTTTATAATAAGCATAGAATTACCTTTATGAGGAAGGAAATAGGTTGTATGGGAAAAGTCAAACTACTGCTACAAGCAACAGACACCATCCATGATAAGCTTAAAAATTTACCAAGAAATTTAATATGTGAAATACCAGAATGAATTTAGATATTGAGTAGGAAGATAGAGAAGACAAGGAACACTGTAGGTCCTCACTGTTCATTGGATGTCTAAAGTTACTTGAGACTTTTAACTTAATTATTATTATTTTTGTAGGTCGTGGGTCTTGAACTTTGGGCCTGGGCACTGTCCCTGAGCTCTTCAGCTCAAGGCTAGGGCTCTACCCCTTGAGCCATAGTGCCACTTCTGGCTTTTGGGTGGTTAATTGGAGATAAGAGTCTTATGGACTTTCCTGCCTGGGCTGGCTTTGAGCCACGATCCTCAGATCTCAGCAATCTGAGGAGCAAAGATTACAGGCATGAGCCACTGGAACCCAGCAAGTCTTTTAATTTTAATTAGTTAATTGATTAATTAGTTGGTTGATTTGTGTGTGTGTGGGGGGGTTGTGTGTTGATACTGAGGCTTGCACCCTCTCTTAGTTTTTTGTCTTTGGTCAAGACTGGCGTTCTACCAATTGAGCCACAGCTCTATTTCTGGCTGTTTGTTGGTAAGTTTAAGATAAGAGTCTGGCTTTGAACCAGGATTCTCAGATCTCAGCCTCCTGAGTAGCTAAGATTATAGATTACAGGTGTGAGCCACCGGCTCTGGGCTGGCTGGTTGGTTTTGAAATAAGGACTTACTATGTAGCTCAGGCTGGTTGGTCTCAAACTTGCAATGCTCTTGCTTCTGCCTCCAAGTGCTTGGGATTACAGACCTAGACCACCATACTCAGAATGGCTTTTTATTGTTATTTTTATTTTTTACAGTGCTGGGAATCAAAGTCAGGGCCTCACATACGTGAGTTAATACTATACCATTAAGGTATACTTTTATTTACTGAAACAAACTAGTTAGAGACACCTAGGTTTCTAGAAAGAATGGAGCCCATAAGCAAAGCCAGAGGTACTTTTAAATGTGTTGTCCAGTTTTGGAAAAGCTAGTTCAATGGTCTGAAGTCTGAAGGGTGGAAGAATGTTTAGTGAAAAGTACTGCACGGGTTCTCATGAGCCATGACCAGTCCTACAGGCTTGCTGGACATAAGCCCAGCCATTAATCAGTTGATTCTGAGCAATTCACAAACTCCTGTGGGCATTTCTTTTTTTAAATACTGGCACTGGGCCTTGACCTCAGGACCTTGGCACTGTCTCTTAGCCTCTTCCCTCAAGGCTGGTGCTCTACCACTTGAGCCATACCTCCACTTCCAACTTTTTCTGGTTAGTTGGAGAGCAGAATCTCTCATATTTATCTGCCAGGGATGGCTTTGAACCATGATCCTGAGATTGCAGCCTCCTAAGTAGCTAGGATTACAGGCTTGAGACACTGGGTCTGGCTCCTGTCAGCCTCTTTATCCTCATTCGTAAGTGAGATCTGGCCCCAGCACTATCACGCTGTTTGAGTGGTCTCAGATAGGTTGAAACCACTCTAGACTAAAGCCCAAGCCAGCTACTCTGTCCCTGAAATAGCCACTAACCTCTTGTGCACATTGTTTCTCCATCCCTGGGTTTCAGGTGTCTTCCCTCAGGAGGTGTTGCAAGGACTGACTAATAACACTAGTTTCTCAACAACCACAGTGCCAGGCACAGGTGCAGGGAGTTCCACATCCACAACAGATTATCCACGTAATCATCTCCCAACCTGAAAGCCACCTTGGTGTCCTGGGTCAACGCTTCCTGTTTTGCTGATAATATGGTCACAGCTGAAGTCTCAGATCTTGTCAGACACTTCCCCAAGGATGGGAAAGATGTATAAGAATAGGTCCAGCAAGGCCCACTGGTTCATGCCTGTAATCCTAGCTACGCAAGAGCCTGGGATCTGAGGATGGCAGTTCTAGGCTAGCCAAGGCAGGGAAGTCCATGGAGATTGCTCTAAAGCTTCTTCTTGTAACTCAGAGAAAATAAAATTTCAGTGTTTTTGTTTCTTTTTGTCTTTATTTATTATTATTACTATTATGATTGATGCTTGGCTTCTGCTCTTGGTGGAGGTGTTACCACTTAAACCACACCTTCAGTCCAGCTTTTTTGCTGGTTACTTGGGGATAGAGACTCTTGAACTTTTCTGCTAGGGATGACCTCCAATAGGGGACCCTCAGATCTCAACTCTCCTGAGTAGCGAGGATTAAAGGCATGAGCTATAGTCAGCCGTGCCTTCCTCAGCCTAATAAATTTGGTTAATTTAAAAAATACTAGTTTTGTCTTGCTGACATTCACACGTTACTTTCTGAGGTTTCCTCTTCCTGATCGATGTCAAACAACGCAGGAACTCACGCCGTAATCCTAGGGTTTATTTACTTCCATTTAGTTATTTTTGCAGTGCTGGGAAATGGAACCCAAAGATGAATTTAAGGCCGTGCTGGTTTGGCCTCACCAGCCACAATGAAATCCCCTCCTTTATTTCTTCTTTTCTTTTCGTGGTGTTGGGGATAGAGCTTAGGATTTTGCATTTGCTATGCAAGAGCTCTAACACCATACATTACCCTTCTTCACATACCAGCGATCTGGAAGGTGGGTGGGTGAGGAGGCCCTCAAACACCAGCGGTGGCAGGGGCGAGGCGGGGTCCCCCGCACCAGCGGTGGCAGGGGCGAGGCGGGGTCCCCCCCGCACCAGCGGAGGCAGGGGCAAGGCGGGGTCCCCCCCGCACCAGCGGTG